CCAGGTAATATTTCAGAACTATAATATGCTGAAGTTAATATTCAGGCTTCGAAACAGTTGTATGTCTATTAACCAGACCTAGACAAACTGCTGGTCTCATAATCCATAAAGTGACTACTTTAAATATTATTCCTTGCTTATTCAATTTCAGCCTTTGTGGCTATGTCTTAAAGCTTACAATGTATGGATTTTCTTAATGTTTGACTTAAATTACATCCAACTTCCTTCATGGTCAGATAAGTGCTGATGGAAGGATGAGAACTAAGTAATGATGTTCTAGAAGACAATGTAATAAATAATGTGAGTGAGCCCTTTGCTCTATGGTTTATGGAGAGGCCTAAATGCCACAGCAATGGAAATGTCTGTTACTATGGCCAAACACAATGTGTCCCAATAAAATTGGAAAAAGATTAAGAATCTTCTGATGAGTGTTTGGCAAGGTAATAATAATCCAGATTATTGTGTTGACTGTTAGGAAGATAATATGTTTTCTGCTAATTCTTTTTGTGTTTCAATAGCAGATTGTGACGACCTTGGACCAAGAGCCAAGTGACTGAAAGAAAATTTCCCAGTTACATTCTTTTTTTTTTTATATATTAAGAAAGAGGGAATATGTGTGAGGCCAACCTTATGGGTGACTGAGTTACACTCCCCAGCTGGGTGCTGAGGCACTCAGTCACAGAAATGGGTGTCTTGCTAGAGCCCCATGGGTGCAGCCCAGTTAGCCCAGTTTAACTAGAGTGACCCCTGAGCCTTTTAGTCGAGAGAACAGAAACCCAGCAGCATAATACCCTATTTTCCAGACAAGGGGTTATTGAGTGGTGGGTAGATGGAAAGCTAAAGATATGGACGTAAGCCATACCCTTTACTTATGTGGTCACAGTATTATATATGACATAAATTAAATTTGACCTACCAGCCCAAACTAATTAATTAATGAAATATTTAATGACATCTAAACTAATATATACCTATAAACAATACACCCAAATGTGGGAGACCAACCTTGCACATATTAAGTCACACTCCCCAGCTGGGTGCTGAGGTGCTCAGTCACAGAAATATGGCAAAGCTTTCCTCACCCTTCTTGGGTTCCAGGGTCAGTGTCTGGTGCATGGATGTGTCTTGCTACATGGGTGAAGCTATGCTCACCTGTTCCTTTGTGATATTACCCCTTGCCCTGTTTAGGATAGAATCTTCCATGGAAGTGCCTTGTGTGTGTCCCCTTCTCTTACTGTGCCCTTGAGTGTGGCCTACCCAGGTGTCAGTCAACCTGCTGACAGTGGACATCATGAAGATAGACTCAGCCCCTGAAACCAGACCCTTTGCCTCATTTGAATAGCTTCTCCTCAATAAGAGGAACAGTGTGTGCTCTCTCTCTCTCTCTTCCTGTGGACCCTTAGGGTCAGAGGAGCCGTCACAGCGACTCCAATGAAAAAGGTATTTGTGACTCTTGTGTGGTTATTTCATGCAGCCCAGTTAGCTCGGTACAACTGGAGTGACCCTTGAGACTTTTAATTGTGAGAACAGAAACCCGGCACCCAAATGAATATCAAGTAGCAGAATTTCTAATAAGTAATGGCTCTCCTATAGTCACTCATTCTTACTCCTACTTTCATTGGCATCTTCATTAGTAGAAGAGTCTTTATTGATTTCTTCTGCTAGGCATGGGCTCCCGCCTACCTCCCTGGCCCAGTCCTCTGTTTTAAGGCTCTCTGCTCCAGGCACTCTGTGGCAGGAATCCTGACCTATTGAATATCCTTTGAAGGATTTGGTATATTGATTCCATGGTTTATCATTCCAGGTGCACGTTAATTTGGGAAAAACAGGTTCTGCCACTACTCGGAGCAGATATTTTCAATAGGCCTGATTCCAAATGTGTAGATATGATTCATCTTTCCTCATAGAAAAGAGGCCTCACAATGTCTCAGAGCAAATGACCCACTCCCCACTTTCTGCAATTTGGTCTTTCTTTGTTATCTCTCTCTTTAGGGCAGTGCTCTATGGTAAGTCACCAGTGGAGTGGCCCAGACACCACCATCTCCAGAACCCCCCTCCTTCCCAAGACTGAGTCAACCTTCTCCAGGTACCTGCAGCTCATCCCAGGCCCATGAACACAGCTTTCCCACAAGGGCACGAGAGGCTCTGGGCCATGAATGGTTAAAGTTGAAAAGGTCCAACTCCTTCACCTTTAGTGTCGGGCGGCGAACCCAGAATGCCCCCGAGGGTCCTCATACCTTGTGATACCACAGCATTTTACCTTTTCTAGTGATTTTGAAATTCTTAGTAGTGAAAGTCTCAGACAGTATTTCAAAGTTGGACATCTTGTTTTGATTCATGACTTGGAAGGAGCTGTTCTTGAGAACTGAGTCCAGTTCTTCTGGACCCAACTTCTTTCCCAGGAACTGACAGATCCTCTCTATGGTGCTTCTTGGGTCCTACAATGTGAACAATCAAGAGTGATGCTCTGAACAGGAAGGACAGCAGAGACGGGAAATGGGAACAGATGTGTTAGGAGGGGTGTGGGGGAGGAAGAGGAGAGGACAACATCTCAAAATGGGAAAAGACTGAAAGGGGTGCCAGATGGAGGAAGAAAGAGCAAGGGGCCAGCAGAGCGAGTGAAGTATGTGGTAACGTGAGGATCAACAGGGTCTTCCCAGGGAGGCTGAGCTCAGGACACCTCAAAGGAAGGTGTTGGACGTCTAGAGAATGTCCTTGCAACACGAGCAAGGAGAAAAATCCCCCAAATCCCCCAAAGACTAATCCTTAACTGACATTGAATAACCATCGGGCTTTAAAATAGCTTGGGGAGGGTCAGGCAGAAGCAGAGCAATGGAGATCAAAGTTTACTACTCTTCTTGACCTCTGGGAGGCAACACTGTAACAGGAAAGGTGGAGTGGAGACCCTGAGGACCAGGGATGTCAGGGGTAGCAATCAGGGCTACGAGGTGCTGACCCTTGAGAAGGGGGCTCACCTTCTGCAGCTCTTCATAACTCAGCAGCAGGACATTCTCCCTGTCTCTCATGGACATCCAGCCACGAACGTGCTCGAACCATGATCCATAGGACACTGCTGGGTAGGCACATGGGTGCAGGTTACACACTGCCAAAACAGAAGCTGGACTGTCCATGTCACTCTTCACACCCTGACAACTTGATTCATGTATAATTGATAAATGCTGCTCAAATTAGGTAATGAAATACAGAAAGATTCCTGAATTAATTCTATGAAGCCAGTATCATACTGATACCCAAACCAGACAAAGACACATAAAGAAATCAACAAACCAATATTCCTCATGAACACAGATACAGAAAACCTTATTGAAATATTAGAAAATCCTATTCAACATTAAGATTAAACACAAGACATGTTGTATTAAAACTGTAAGATCATACATCACAACATGCTGATTTCATTGTGGGGATGTAAGGTGGGTGCACCGTATGCCAACTCAGAAATGTATTTTACCACATCAATAGATTTTGCCTTGAGAGAAGAACTTGGCTGAGCATCCTAAAGGCTATCTGTGACAAGCCCAAAGCCAACATCATGCTAACCTGGGAAAATCTGTGGGTTAATTCTAGAAGCTTTACTCCTGAATCCAGAACAAGGCAAGGATGTCCACTGTCACCTCTCCCATTCAATAAACTTCTTAAAACTCTAGTCCAAGAAAGCAGGCAAGAGAAGGGAAAAAGAAAAGGACAAGAAAATACAAGAAGGAAAGAAGGAAGCCAAATTATCAGTGTTTGCAAATGATGGGGTACCATGCGTTGAATACCCAAAAAGCTCTCCCCAAACACTTGTAGAATTGATGACCAACTCTGAAGAGTAGAAGGATACAAAATCACCACACCAAAATCCAGAACTATTTTTCTTAATAACGAATCTACTGAGGAAGAAATCAGGAATGCTTTTCATTTATAATGGTCTCAAAAAATTCCTAGGTAGCCAGGTGCAGTGGTGCACACCTGTAAACCCAGGAGTTTGGAAGCCTGAGGCAGGAGGTTTGCAAGTTCAAAATCAGCCTGAGCAACTTAGGGAGGCTCTAAGGAACTCAGCAAGACCCCGTCTCT